GGTGCATATTGCAAGTATTATTCTTCATACTGCATAAGCTCAAACGTAATAGGATTCACGAGAAAAACTGACCAGTGCAAGAACAGCCAGAGCAGAAATCTCTAGAAATCGTCTTCACATCCACTTGATGATTATACGGGAATCGTCGAGCACAGTAGGCCATCTAAACCAGCTTATAGGTACTGTAGTGTTGACTAAAGCTTGTTTACAAAATTTTCGGAAACAACGAAGATTAAACTCTACCTTAGGAGGATTTTCGTCATCGACTGTGTTCACTGCTGGTATAGGCATGTTTTCCAAACCAAGAGTGAAGTCCGCTGTCTTGACAAAAGATTCCGCAACCTAAATAATAGCAGTGCCATAGGATTCACTATTTCTTCAGGGTATGACCAGGTCGGTGGAAAAAGCAGCCGATCAACAAAAAAAAGCGAAGAGAGACCTACATGCACAAAGTTCTTCGTCTCTATCACCGGATCGAAGCAAAACAAATCGATTGTCAGTTCACTGCCGACTTCCTAAAAGGCAGCATACCATTTTTTGCAGGAATATATTTTTATGTCACGAGTTAGGTAGAAGTAAGCAAGAGTCGGTGTATGGGCGAAGATCAAAGGCACATTTCACAATTAGTTTTTGCAACAAGTACTTCTGTGGATACGGTAGATGGATGCTCGGCCGCTGAGGTAGGCCAAGTCTCGCGAGTTGGAGCGCGTGTCTTGCTCTTTCGGGATCTATGGCTTGTATCGATGCAAACCTGAGGCCTCGATGTACGCTCACTGTTGCTGATGCATCGGTGCCGGCATCGCACTTATCTTCTGAGCACCCCTGAATCTCTTCTGCCCACTGTACCCACTATCTCTTCACCTTACAGTCGCCTACCACCAGATAAGGTAGCCCTTGTTTTTACGACACAATAACCACATCTAGGCGATCGTGTAATGTGTCTTGATTATGTATGACACTCGTAAAAAAACAGCTATTTGAAGCTGCCTCACCTCGAAAACTCAGAAAATCCATTAGAACCAACAACACGAGTTTTTACCTTGAGATACGTAGCCACGCATTTCTTCGAGTTTAGTGACCGTCCACATGGCGCGCGATACATTGATTCGACCATCGCTCGCACGTCGTACTGAGCTCTCATGCATATACAGCTTAAATATTTACAATTTCGGAAAACAGTTTGTTTGGGAAACAAAAGCTTCGAGGTAAGAAAAGACTCACAACTCGCCGCCATCCACACAAAATCGGAATATGCAGCGGAGAGCACGTGAAGAACTGCGAATTTGCCGGATCACGCTCCAATCCGCCCAGGCAGACCGGTGAGCATTCCGTATGGTACTGCCAAGTGGTATGGGGTATCGGCTGACTACACGGCAGCACTTCAAACTAAACATAAATCATTTCAAAAAGTCCAAAGTAGTACAATTTTGATAGTTAACAACCCCTGCCACTGATGTTCAGCAAAACTACAAACCTGAGCTTCCTTCTTCATTCGAATCGCTAAAGTTTGCGGATCCATCTCATAGTTGAGCGCCTCTTCCGGTCCTCCATCAGCTCTAACTGGTAGCGACGACTTTCTCGCCTTCAAATGCAAGACTGATGGTGAGCAAACTAACAAATGAGAATGGAATGGGGTAAGCCATGGCATCGAATGAGCCAACAGAAAGCTGTGCAAATCGAGAGCATGAAAACAAAATAATAAAGCCTGATTAACCATAACTCACAGTAGTTGAAGAGGTCTTGAGCCTGTCAGGGCATGGTCCTGGCTGTACAACATCGAACTGAGAACGATTCTTCGCCATGCGTCTCGCCGACATGTTGTTACTACCAAAGTGTTCGAGATTCTGCAATTTTGTTCGTTTGGGCCAAAAATCATTCCACTCAGACCTTCTCATTCTCAAATCATCCCAAAATAAATACTCCACTAGTTAGGGGGTCTAAATATACAGGTAGCTATCTACAGTTGGATAGGGACCGCTCAAAAACAACCGGACCTTTATGGAGAACCAAACACAATCACCACTCACCACTGCATGGATCCTCGACGACCCTCTGAAGATGGTCTCATCAACGTGCAGATGTCCCGGCGCAGAACATGGATACTCAAAACAGTTCGCTCCAGCCAGAGAACCACTTCGAGGCGGAAACCGTAAGACACATAACGCTCTATCGGTAGCGACAACGTAGGCCGTGACACGATCCTGATTGCGATCGTAGGCCTAAAATCCAATTTTTAGAGAAGCATCTCCATGAGGCATTCGGGTGGGAAGTAAAAAATCGAGAAATTCACGCACCACAACAGCCTGGGCCGGTCTCTCTGGTAGTGACGGCTTCTTCATACGTACAAGCGGCCAATCTGGATATTTCTCAAAGTACTTCTGGATAAATCGTCTCCGTTCTGGATTCTGCCGGATCAGCTGATATACTCCGCCTTTGTCAATCTGAAAGGAAAGACTGAGAAAATGTACACAACTGATAGCAGCTTCACCGAAAGAATCAGCAAGAATTATCCACTCACGAATCTCAAGGTCTATAAGGATCTATGACACTAATCGTAAGCAGATGAAGACACTAAATCGGCTTTCTTCCTATCACAACTTGGGCAATCTGCCAACTAGCTTTCAATCAGTGTACGGCTTATAAGACCCTTCAAAATCCCGCTCAACTGGACATAAGAACATTAATGAGTTGAGATGCGAGCTGAAAGCGACTCACAT